GCCGCCGTGTTGAACGCGCCTCGGCAATAACGATATCTCGCGGATATTTCGTTGGTCCATTCATCATCGTACTCGCGCGCGCTCGCGCCGCGATAAATCCCCCGATGCGCTTTCGATAACTCGCGAGAGCCTCCGCGCGCCCATCCGACGTGGTGGCCCTCGCGAGAGTCAGTGTTACGCGGACGTAGCGCGTGCGCGATTTACGGTGCACGTCGGCCCGCGAGGAGCCGCGAATTCGTCCCGTCGCGTGGGAACCAATCGCGGACTGGAGATTGCGCGACGGCGACGTGCGCCCCGAAGGCGTCGAGAACACCCCGGGTTCTCGAATAAGGCGCGCTGCTTTCCGCCGGATCGCGCATCGACGGGATCGATGTGCAGCCGGGGCGATATTGATCGAGCGACGCGAATAGAACAGCTCGGCTAAATGAAAACATCAATATCTCTCATATGGAGACGCTCGCCCGTCGTATCTGCCGCGTCGTCGGCGGCGTCGGCGTCGGCGTCCCGCGCGCGCGCGCGCATACGTAAATAGCCCCTCGCCTCCCATCTAATCCGGCTCGATCTAAATCGCCGGCGATTCAACGGGTAATAACGTCAGCCTCGCGCGGAGCTCGGGACGGGGCGCGAGTGACGTAAGGTCAATCTGTCAGAATCTTGCGGGCCCGCGCTCGCTCGCGCCGTGACATTTATGAATATCGATGCGTGACGTGCAACGAACGGCGCGGCGTGCGCGGGATTTCGCCATAGAGCCGACGCGGCGTTCTCTCTCTCTCTCTCTCTCTCTCTCTCCCCCCCCCTCTCTCTCTCCTTGCGGTCTCTCGATCCCAGGCGGATCTCACGACGCACGCCAAGACGAATAAATCATCGCGCCGTACGGCCGCGCGCTCGCGTGCGATCGTACGCGCATCTGCATTCCTCGGGAGCCTCGCGTGCATTAAGGTCGTTCCGAGTATTGCCGGGGCGTGAATACGCGCTGCAACCTACCCCGCCCGCCTCCTTTTTCCCCCCTCGCCCCCGCGGCCCCGGAACGAATTGGGCCGCGCGATAATCGCGAGAGGAGAGATCGCCGGCCGAATTTTTGCCGGCCGGCTCGATCTCCGGCCGAGCGTTTTCACATCCGCGGTTATCATCATCGCGCTCTCTCAACGGAGTCGAGATCTCGGAGAGATCTCCAAGCTGAACGCTCGGCGTATCAGGCTGAAGCTCTCGGCGGCCGAGTGGTCTAGCTTTAGTCGCGCTCTCTCGTGCGTTTCCCACGTGTCGAGCGGAGTCTGTCGCGGTGAAAGAGTTCGTTCCTCGAGACGAGCTTCTCTCTCTCTCTCTCTCTCTCTCTCTCTCTCTCTCTCTCTCTCTCTCTCTCTCTCTCTCTCTCTCTCACCATGCTAAAAGGGAGGAGACACCCTTTTCGTCTCTCTGAGTGTTCCTTCGCTTTCGCGAGCGCGCGCGCGCGTTTCGTCGGCCGGACAGTCGCTCGCGAGCGAAGCGAGACGGACGTTAATTGGCGAGAAACGGAGGCGTCGCTGCCGATTCAAGGGCCTCGTCTCGCGTAATTGTACTTACACAACGCACTGCTTTTATCAGTAAGATACGGCGATACAAACGCATTGGCTTTTTTGCGCGAACACTCGCGATACTCTTCTCTGCAGGCTTTCTTGCGTTGCCTTCTTTCGTGCCGCTCTCGTGTTATTGACTCTCGATAATTGTATAAGATTTTTGCACGCTAATGAGTGACCCTGCGAGTAAATCGATAAATAAATAATTAACCGCGAGCGCCATCGAGAAGGCTGGTGGCCGAGCGTGTACAATGCTTGGCGTTGTGCGCTCGCGAGTCCTCTTCATCTTGATGAATTAATTTCACTTTTACGCGATCGGTTGCGTCAGCAACTGACTTCACGAGAAAACTCGTTTGACTCCGTCAACTCGGGAAAACGCCTAGTTGGATGAACCAGTTTTCTGGTGAAATTCGAACGATCCAGAACGATCCCGGCTCTCAAGTTATTCAGCTTGAATTACCCGCAAGATTTCTGTTTATACAGGAAAAATCTTCTGAAAACACTTTCAATCGACATTTCTGAATCACTACCACGTCTCAGCGGGCAAAAAATATCGGCTCTTTCGGCCAGACATTTTTCTCCGTATTGCAATTCTTATTAGCGTTCTCGTGAAAATTCCGTCATGCCCCATCATTTGCATAGCTCTCACCTCGTTATTTATCTGCCAGAGATAAGAGGATTTCTCCCATAAAGAAAAAAAAAATAAATAAATAAATAAACAAACAAATAACGCTTCTTCGGAGATCCGGTAATTACCCGATCTAATGATCGGGCATCGACGTAAGAAGAAGACGGGCCGCACGACCGCGCACTGACCCGAGGCCCCCGGCTTGAAACGGTCCCGCGATAATTGAACGTGTGTGTCGGGCTACTCGTGCTTTCGTTACGAACGCGCTCCGAGCCGAGCTCGCGTCGTCGATTAATCCTCGGTACATACCGAGAGGCTCTTCGTATCGTTAGACACGCTGTCGGCGGAGAGACGGTTCTCCATCGCGCGATGAGCAGAGAAACTCGGGCCGAGTGTTGTAGAAGAGCAGCTCGTGGAGAGACACGCACACAGAGAGAGAGAGAGAGAGAGAGAGAGAGAGAGAGATCGTCGCGCTATTGTCTCGCAAATGTATGCGCAGATAATTGCACGCGACGGCGGAAGACGTCGATTAGCGTTGAGATGAATTTATCGTACATACGGTACGGGCGTTTCGCGCCCGTTGCATTCATCACGATTAGAAACTTGCGGTGCATTGTCGCGGCTCTCCCGTACAGTTGTTAGTTTAATCGGCCCGCGCGAGTGTCCCGCCGCTTAATCGCCGAGATACGATTTGTGTTAACGGCCGATGGGACGATTCAAATGATCCCGGCGCTCTTTCCGGGCCGAGATTAAGTGAGAGCCGTCGGTGGCCTTAATGGTCAGCCCGGCGTTGGTATTGATCGGTGAAAATCTTACTCGACTAAAATATTGCGCGGGAGCACTCATCAGTATTGATTGATCAATCGTCGTCCATATAATTATGGATAACTTAATCCGTCGATGGAATTAATTATTAGTCGGCGTGTAATCGAGATCAAGTTGAGATAACCGATTGAAACTGTCATTGTACGTAATTACGATTCACTCGATGTTAATTTTCGTTATTTTTTTAAGTCGCGGCTCTTGTCGAATTACTGTTAGATAACGGACGGTCGATCGATCGCCAACGGAATCGCCAACAGAAATTTCTGTGAATTGACCCAACCAAATGTCCCTCCCATCATCTCGTGTCATGTGCCACGTGTTATTGGCAGGCAGATTAGATTATTAATTAATTAATTAATTAAACATCGATAAATATTAATATGAATAAAATATGAATAGAAAAGTATAAATAAACAAATACAAATTAATTGATTGAAATTATTGAACGGGATGTTTTACAATTGTTGGATTAAAAACGGATTCGAGCGAGCTCGCGCGCGCTAAATAGAAGTCCGGCGAGCGGGCGAATAAGGACGCGAGACTCGAGAGTCGGATAGTTTGATCGAATTTAGCCTCTCCTTGAGCGCACAGTACAACTGCGAGTGTTGTTTGTTTACTTCTCAGAACGTCGTTTGTTGTTGTGCTTCGAGTCTGTGTTGTCGCACGGAGAGCCGTGCAAATAATATCGTGAGGATTCTCGATCGCTTTGTAGACACTAATAATCCCGGTCTATCGGCTTGCTAGTCGGCTAGTCAAGTTATTTCGGTCGGGCGGGTAAACACGCTTAAACGTCTAAAACTAACAGTAAGAACGGTCCACAGCTATTGTTACGTTCGAATTGCAGACGTAATGTGAAATCGTTCGGAGCGGACGGTGATCCGAGTGAATATCTCCCGCAATCTCGCGGCAAGAAAGCGTCGAAAGAAGCCAGCGCGGTAAAAACAAACGACGCGCGAGTGTGAACATTTACTTATGTAAAACCGTTACTTTCGGATTATATCCGCAGGCGGACAAAGTGTCGCAAGAATATTTGGCCGCAAAGAAATATAAACGAGCGGACGGAACACGGAGTGACAGAGTGAGAAATTGCGTATCGCGCGATTACATAGCAAGAGAGAGGTCGAGGAATCTTTAGTCCATATTTTTCTTATTTAACTCTTCCTATATCCTGAATTAATTTACCCAAGACCTAAGAATAAATTTTACAATTGAATTTTATTTAATTTCTTAATTTCTTAAGTGAATTAAATTTTTAAGTGGTGATTACAAGTACCAACCGAGAAAAATGCAGAGTAAGTAATAATACAAATAAGCTCAAAAACATAGGAGCGTGTTTATATAAAGCGGCGCTTATCGTCAGAGGATATAAAGGATTAAGTAATCACATGCATATATCGTTACTACTACATTTTCGTGACAAAACAAGAAGAAGACACAGTTGAGGTCAAAGATAACTTTAGTGTATAACGCGTCCTTTGTTCTTTCCTCTCAACGTAGATCCTTCCGCCTCGTCGCCGCGTCGCGGTTATGTGGAAGCACACGAAAAGCAGTCGGTCTCCGTGAAAAACCGCGCTTGATTTCGCGCGATTTAAGCGCAGCGTGTCTGCCTGCCTGCCTGCCTACTCGCGGAAAATGTTCAAGGCCGTCCATCGTGCGCGGTATAACGGCTCGAGCATGCAAATGTCAAGGAAATGGACAAAGACGAAGAGTCCGCTATTCTCTCTCTCTCTCTCTCTCTCTCTCTCTCTACTTGTATCGACTGGCCTCTCTTCCTCTCCCTCTCCGCCTCACTCTCTCAGCAGTTATTCCGCTCTTTTCCATCGAGCCGATGCCATTAGTCAGGCTTTCTCGTCGACCTCGGTAAAGTGCGTGTTACCCGAGACGCCATCTCGCTTCGCGTCCCAATTAGACAAGTGATAATCGGTTCCGGCACGACCCCACTTGACCCACGCGAAGGGGCGCGCACTGATAAAAATTGGTCGTTTTCATTGCAGGAGAAGGAAGGAAGGATCTCGCGGCCAAAATGGAGCAGTGGCGGTGGTTCATATACGCGGTGACCCTGCGGATCCTCGCGGCCGTTGCTGACGCCGCCGAGGACTTTCGGCACATCTCGTACGAGGGTGAGTGCATTTTACGACGAGCAGCGCCGCTTGATATATTCACAACGTTACCGTGTGTGGTCTCGCGATAAATTTGCATGCATTTCGCACGCGCGTATATCGTCGTCTGCGCCAGAAGTCTGTCTGTGTGATTTCATGAAATTGCGCACCGCGATTGCGACACTTGGTTGCGCAGCGCAGCGCAGCGCAGCGCAGCAATGAATGCGATGTGTCGCGTCACGATCTTGAAACGCGACTTCACTATCGCCGCGTGCCAATCCGCGGTGTAGCCCGCACGATTCTTAATAATAATCATACGTAATTTTCAATCGCACGAACGCGGCGACTCCTTGCGCTCGCAGCCGCGGTTTCGGATCGCAGCGGCGATTTCGCGCCGAAGCTCCGACTGCGTGTATCGCGTTGCGGCGAAAGGAAGGAAACTCGCGCGATATATCGCGGCGGGAGATCGCAACACGGCTCTCCTCCGGCCGTGTAGCGGCATAACGTTACCGCGATACCGAAGGCACGCACGCGCAAGAGGAGTCGGCCCGTTATCGCGGGCTGATACTTCGCACCTTTTAATCACGTCCGCGGAGGATCCTCTTATCTGACGATTCGCGCGGCTCGATCGATTATAGCGTGTAAAACGGGACAGACTTAATCGTCGCGACAGCTCACAGCGGCCTTTCACGTCCCGCGAATCATCATCCTTCGCAAGAGTCGCGACGGGATCTCCCCGATGCGCGATAGTGCCTCCTCTCGCGATCCCGTTAATTGCTTTATCTCGCGCGGCTAATCCGCGGCAAATCGCCGCGCGCGATTACGGCAATAGCAGCGTGGCTCCGATATCGCATATATACTATTTATCGATAAGGCGATCGCGCGGACGTCGCGCGAGGACGGTCGTTCACGCGCGGCGTCGTGCCTCTTTTCGCCGGCCGCGAGCAGAAACAGGACCAACGAGTTTCTAGACGCGATTATCTCGGAAACGGGAGCACTCCCACGGAACGGACAGAAATACACTTCATTCATCGAGGCGTTGTCGCGCGCCAGGTGCGCCCGCGGCGGCGGCGGCGGCGGCGGCGGCGCCGTTAGAAAAACGCGCGCCGTTCTCGTCCTGGAGGTTCGTGTTAGGCTAGATTCACGCTATTCGCCTTCACGACGATCGACGGCCAACGGCGATCGACTGCGTCCTGCGCCTTGCGTTGCAGTATTCGCGAGTACCCGTCGTCGTCGTTGTGTCTTAGCCGTTTCTATTGAAAATCTCAACTCGACGGACAAAGTGCGCTCTTGTCTGCGTAAAATCATACGGATAATCGTCTACGGATAAAGTTCTGACATAGCAATTTATTCGCATCGAAACAATACAAATATATATACATATGTACACTGAGAAAAATATCCGAAATATCCGATTGTTAATTTCGTTATCCGATCAAATATCCGGTGTATTTAATCGAATATTTGATCGGATAACAAAATTAACAATCGGATATTTTTGATATTTTTCTCCGTGTATATATATATATATATATATATATTAGGTATACTGGAAGTCTTTGTTTTTCCGTGTCCTTTACTTGCTTCGAATGCTGCCATTTTCCAAGAGTAAGTTCGATCTTAATGAAAGTTGATGTATGCAATAAAGAAATGTTGTTAACTAACCTGGAATTTAAATTAATTCTGGATTAAAATTAAAAACCCTATACTATAAGCATAGAAATTGGAAGCTTCAAAATATGAAAAGACTTTCCTATATTCCTAATATATGTATAATCTTTAGCTCTGCGTCTGTGTGAAATGGAGAAAAAGTGTCATCTCTCTCTCTCTCTCTCTCTCGCTCTCTTTTATCGTTCGTCAATAATTTCCTTCACGTCGTAAAACGGCATAAAACATTGCAATATTTGTCCTTGTCGTCGTAGACGTTCGCGTTAGCGCTACCTGTTTCAGACATTCTGCATTGAGTGGCAAAGTGCTAAGAGGAATTTACATGTTTCGCGTTTATCTTCATCTGGCTAATTTTTTAAGTCATCCAAGTGCAACCCTGTTGACGGAGGGAGGGAGGAGGGAGGGAGGGAGGGAGGGGGATTGACGGGCTCCTCCCGTCTGTCGTCCTCTGAATCCATGAATGCGTGCGTCGCCGCACGTAGTTGCGACGGCCGATCGAGAGCCCGTCCGGAGAATCGCGAAAACTTTGCACCTGAATTCGACGAAGACTGCCGACCCGTCACGGACGCGCCTCTCGCGATTATCTCGGCGCGTCTGATAACGGCAGCCACTTCGGCGAACGCGGAATGTCTGTCGCGGTCTGTCGTAATTCGTCGGCGGAAATTCGAACGAGCGGCACGTGCGCGCGACTTTCAAAGTCTCTTCCTCATCGTTTTGTTTGCGCGACCGAGCTTGGCGAGTGAAATTGCCCTTGGTAACCGAGATCGCCGGGGAGAGAGGGAGAGAGGGACGGAACAAAGTTTCGCCTCGCATACTTCCGCTCTTAGAAGGCTGCTTAGAAAGCACGTGGCAGGAACGCGCGATATTAAATAACTCCCCCCGTAATTATACTCTCCCGAAGTCAAAGGAAAAAAGTCATCGATTTGAGTCTCGGCGCGCGTCGTTCAAGAGCGAGAGAGCGCGCTCGACAAGGACGTTCCGTGGTGGATCGAAATCTCCGTGTGAAATCGCGTGGCTAATCGTCGGAAAAGTAGGTGAATTTTCCCGAGCGCCGGCTGGCGAGCATAAATCCGAGCAGCCGGCGGCCTGGAGAATCGGCGCACGCTCGGGACATTTATGCAAATTTAATTTCGCCCATAACCGCTCCTCTACGACGGCGACGTGTCGGAGATAGGCACGGCTAATCGATAAAGAAAATATATCCTCGCTCGCTCGCTCGCCCCGTTGTCGCCTCGCATGTGCGCGCGCGCGCGCTTGTGTCGCGCTCGGTCGCCGAGCCAGCCCATTAACATCTGGCAAAAATGTCGGACATTCAGGGCACTTATCACAAGCAATGACCCACAATGTACAGTTATACACGTAGGCGAGCTCTCGCGGCTCGATTATCGCACACTCTAGCCGCGCTCCCGGAGAGAAAACGCAGATCGTGTTTGAGATGTGGGACGGCGCGGCCGTATGGAGAACAGACGCCACGCCCGGAATCAAACGGAAACCGCGCAACGGAAAAGCTCGTATCGGAGCCGGAGCCGGCCGCTTAATGAGCCTAATGGATCGTTTCTCTAGCTGCCGCGCCGCGGAGGGCGGAGAGTTCGCGCTCGCTCTTGCCCGATTTCGTCGCGCTCGCAAGGCGACCGCGCGGGCGCGGGAGCAATCGATCAGCTGATCGGTTATTAAGATAACAAGTCGTAAAAATTCTCCACCCAATATTGCAAAATTGACGGGCAAAAGCAAGCTTGTAAGCCGGAAATGGTACACGGCTGTGTGTGACGTCCAAGCGTCGATCGGCTGATCAATTATGGAACGTAGCTGAGTTAACTCAAGGCCCCGGTCGAGTTTGTAACTAAAATCAAAACGACGCGCCGCTCGCGACTCGCGAAGGTATAATCGTCACGCTCCGCGTCGAGCCGGATCGCGATTTCGCCGCGACGCACAGTCGGGCCAGATGACATGTTTTGCTTGGAAATTCTCTAGAGACCTGAATTTCCAACCGATCGTCGACACCGACTGCACTGAGGTTGACCCTGAATAAATTCCAAAGAGATCTGTCTAGCCGAAATTTTGAAAAAGTTATCGGTTCAGGGTTCATGGGTTTAGGGTTTGTCTTAAAAGTTTCGAGGCTCGAACTTAATATGTTTTGTAGCTGAATATTCAACGTCGAGTATTATTAAGTTCTCGAGCTACGGCTAGATTGGGTTCTTGGATTATTTGGGGCTCTTAATGTATCCGCGGCTTCATGCATCCACGAGCTAAAAAGTTCTCTTGATAGATTCCTAAGTTGATGGGCTTAAGGCTCAAAATCTCTCTCGGTTTTATGCTTAACGGGTCTATATTTGATGTTTTTGTATTTTGGACATTTTGTATTTTGGTCAATGGTCAATTCTGCTTCAAGATCGATAAATCTCGAGGTGTCTGTTGGATTGGTTTCAATCCGCTGAATACGCTACTAGATAGAAATAAGTGTCGAATAACGAGTATTTCACAAGTTTCTCGCGTCTAACGATAATTTTTCCTCTTTTGGGACTAGTAATTTGAGAAAAAAATTTTTTCTCAATTTTGGCAAGACAGATCCCGTCGGAATTAATTCAGGATCAACCTCATCCATTGGTGTCGGTGATGATCCGTTGGAAATTCAGGTCTCTGGAGAATTTTCAACCAAAGAATGTCATCTGGCCTCACTGTGCGACGCCCGTCGCGTCGCGCGCGAGCGGAAGATCGGCCCTCGCGCGTTTCTCCCGTCGAGCAATCACGACTCACAGCTGCATCGGCAGCGTTCGCTCGCGGCGTGCTCTCGTTGACCGTAGGAATGACACGCCGATGTTTTGCCGCGAGCAGGAGATGAGGCTGCGAGTCGACTTTATCGCGCCGGTCGCGACGCGGCGTGCGGCAGCGCGGCGATAAACGCGGAATGCCGTTACGATAATTCGTGATCCTGCGCCGCGCGGCCGTTGGATCCGGGAAAGAGGGAGAGGCGGGAGGGAGTCGCCGACAAAACAACGGACGCGGCGCACGGAGCGCGCTGATAATATACGTAATACGCGAGATATTTCCCTTTCCGCGAGTTGGCGAGATCGCTTTCCGCGATCGCGCAGCCCGCATTCCTGCGGATTGAAGCGTCGCTCGGGGACGATCGCTCTCGCTACCTTGTTGACGCTCGCGTTTGTCGTCGCATCGGCGGCAGCGCGTTAGTGTGGGATTAGAAAGTCGGCCTTTGGATATTAATTGAACTCGCTGGCCGTCGATTACGTGAAATGTGCATTCCGCGCGCGCGCGAATGAGACGTGGGAACAGCCGAGCGAGAGAGGTATCGAGCGTGCCGTTGGGATAATTCATCTGCCTTTTTTTTGTATAAGCGC